GAATAGGCATTTCTGAACAACACTGAGGTCAAATTCAAAAAATGAAACGGCAAATTCTACAGATTCAACAGCCCTTCAAATTGATCTATCAGTCGACCCCCTGTCTCATTTAGAAATTTTGAGGTGGTGTGGTAGCGTAGCCCTGGAGGTTAGGGGGTTGAAAGAAGGGATTCCAGTTTCACGTGAAAAACCTCCCCCCCCCCCCCCTTCCCCCAATAAATTTGTTGACGTGTTTCGGCGTTTTGCACGAATATGCCTCTTTACGCAGATAACGTGGATGGCAAGTTTTGAAATGAAAGCCCTGTATATTTATTCCTCAGATAAAAATGGTGAAAATCGAAAATGTGCTTGCCTGCAAGAAGGTCTAAAATGTTGTAACGAGTGTAAATGTCGTTTTTGTAATAACACTATTAAAGATTTTGAAGAAGAGGAAAATGATGAACAGGAATGTTTTTAATGTCGAAAGTTAGGGCCACATTTTGTTGAAATCTAAATATATTTTAAAGGAATTATAGGTATTATATCCATATTTCCGCTTCTATTTAATTAAATTAAAAATATATGATACCCTACTAAGTGGTCATAAGGTCTTATGAGTATTATACTCTCCTATCTCTGAGTAAATGCGGTATAATACTGTCTCGCGATGGGTTTCGCTCGCGTTAGATTATTTTAGCGCACAAATAAAAAATCGCTGTGGCCAAACGATATATATTGGGTAATAACTAATAATTTCAAAAACTTTTGTCATGTCTTGGCATCATTTGCTTCGCTGTATGTATATAAAAAATTTCAAAAATAAAAAAGTTTGTCGATTGGTGAAAATTGTAAGACCTGAAATTGTAATTCCTGGACTTTCCGATTTTTAAAAAAATAAAGGGGAAAACTTCGTGAGGAACGAAGGCACTATTAAAAGCGCCTAAGTATGTACTTTAATTTAAAAAAAAAATTACTTCGATAACTTGATTGGTTTTGAAGATATGACGGTAGAAACAAAGAAAAACACATTTTATTGAAAATATATTTTTTTAACTTTTTTTGTCATAAAAAAGTTCGAGACCACGGGAAAATGTCTGCACTTTAGATTTCGTATGCCCAGTGACATGCTTAACAAAACCTACTAGGTTTGATTTGGTTCTACGCCGAAAAAAAAAAACGACGAGATACGGCTTCCAGAACGCTCCTCTATTAGGTTTTGTTATTGATTTTGAAAACGAAGGCTTGTAAAAATCTTCAAATAATTTGTGGGAAAGTAATTTTAGTTTTTTCCATATTGATAAATTTTGTTTAACTAACGTGGTTAGTGATTGTTTCTTATTTTGTCTTGTTTTTTCTGGAAGTTTTAGAACAGCGTATGGAAACAGGAACAAATTAAACCAGGAACGGGGAGAATTTTCCGAAATGCATTTAACCAAAAGGTTTGAAAGTTCTTCGGCTATACAGGAACGAGCACCTTTTGGAATACGACGAATTACTGTGACAAAAGATCTAAGACCTGTTAAAAATATTCATGATTTCTTCGCTATTTAAAAGAAAATTGTCGTTAATTTCTTCTGATAAATGTTTGATTGATTTGTGTTGCTTTAGTCCTCTTTCTCCCAGAAAAAACTTCTCACACAGAGAACATTCAATTTTATTTGAAGAAACTTCAGGATTTTTAGAGCACTCATCTAAATTGGAAGCACGTAAAAAATTAATTTTGGCGTCACAATCATTAATTGGAGTATTATTACATGATAAATGTAATAAATCTTTAGTAAGACTAGCTATTGAAGAATTCAAATTTTGTACTCCGAAATCCTTATGAACTTTGGATTTGTGAATCTTGAGACCATTTTTAGATTTAAAAAATTTGACACATAAAAAACATTGGTTAGGATGGTCCAAATTTTTGATGAGGCTTGATGGAAAAAGTAAATCAAAATGACCATTATCAAGGTTCCCAGAAAAATTTAGATATATGATTCTGGCGTAGTCGGTACGGCTGACTACTAGTGGAGATTCTACGAAAGAGACATCTTCATTACCATTTCTTGATTTTGAAAAATAAACATGGAAAGTTAATTCGAAGAGGTCAGAGAGCGCAAAACATTCAAAAGCAGTTGCGTAGGTTCCATTATTGGCCATATCTGAAATATATTCTTGCTTGGATGTCGAGGCATTATCTTCATTTCCTTTTTGCAAAAAATTTTCGAAAATGTTCCAGTTATTCCCAATGTATTCAACTGCTTGTTTTCTAAGTTGAGAAAAAGCATCTTCATTACCATACAAAAAGTAGCTTACTGACCTGAACAGGCAATTTCCGTCGCCAGAGATGCATATTCTTTTAAAATTTTTCATATCAAAATGTAAAAGTCAAACTGACATTGGGATTTAGCAGTTCCACAAAAATTTTGATAAATCCGGGTTCTACGCCTGGGCGAATTCGTTCTTCTTGTTTAAAAAATCTTGAGAAATATGATGATCAGCGCCAAATATTTGATTTTAACTTACTTTGTGTAAAAAATTATAGAAAATGGTAGAAGATAAAAGACTGTATACTTGACTTTGATTGACGTTTTTTCATGTTGTTTATTGATTCTGCTTCCAAAAGCCTTGAATTCTTTTTGTATCATTAGTTTAATTAATATATGTGTGTTAAAGAAAAGTACAATGGAAGGTATATTTTGGGAAGTATTACTGAGTTAATTATTTGTATTCAGATGACAGGGTATAGTGTGAAGATTATAAATCTCTACTAGCAGGATCGAAATCTAACTTTTTTTTGCCTGCGAAAGTTGTCAAAAGTCCTAATTTTCAATGAAAATATTTTTTTACTTCCTAATAAGCATTAATTGTCAACACTTACGAGTCTCGTATTTTCCATTTTTAAAAATTCCGCGACGCAACAGATCACTTTAACACCCTTTAAATCGATGTTTCACTGAATTCACTGGTATCTACACTTTTCCCGTTTATTTAAGTCCCATAATAAGTGAACTTTTAGGGATACCTTTTGAGCTTGTTCAGGAGGCGTTGTTGTCGACGTTTCTTGGACATTGTTGCTATAACGTTAGCCGATAACGAGTGAATATTTTGGTAGCCTATAGAGTAAAGATCGGGCATATTATCATTATTAATTAGATAATTAGTGTTGAGGGGGCGAAAATGGATAACAGTTTTGAGTTTTTATGGTGTTACCTATCGATGTGGTTTTGGAGGGTGGTTTCAACTTGATTGTCTCGTTTTCCTGGTGAGGGCCGGAAATCTTGCACCAGTGAGCAACATAGGAATCTGGTGAATTTTTCGCGTGTTTTCCTAGTTAATCGCAGAAACATGTTAGTTCTCATTTTTAATTTTCGCACGTTGAGCAGAGCAATAATTTTCTGGTAGATTTTACCGGCGGCCTTTTTTTGCTGCGTTGCTTGGAACATCCACCTTTTGCGGAATTTAAGAGCCATTGGAAGTCGAGTGGTAGCTGGCTTAATTGTTTTTGGGGTGAAAATCTAGATTTGGTCGTAATTCCCCGTATTTGTAAAGAATCTACGCCATTTTGTTGAGTTGGAAGTGCGAAAACAAAGCACGTTTAACATTTAAAAGTTTACTGGTAGTATCCACCGGTAACATTCTAATCATCTATCAATTAACTCTCGAATAACGCTAACTGGCAGTTTATTTGAGCCTGTTTACACCATCACTTTTCATCCGAAAATAAGGAAATAGCGAGTTAACTTTTGCGACCTTCTGGTAACACTGCATTTTCGATGCATTTTCAGATTTCATTTATGTCAATGCTTGTGGTTATGTATATGTGTTGTTGATTAAAAAACTCCCTAGAGTGCCAGAGCCAGACTCCTGCAAATTATTCAATAAATAATAATCCTAAAGAGAGCGAAAAAAGGGAAGAAAAATTAGGTTCATTTACAAAAAAAAAGTAGTTTAATTTTTTTCATTCGAGCGCCCCTCTGATTGGGCTCGTTTTTTTTAATAAAGGTGCAATTTTTTTTTTAACTCGATTTTAACTTTTTGAATGGACTGAGGTTGAGCGATGAGAAATATGAAGCTCCAACGCCAAACAAAAAGAAAAGACCCAAGCCTTCAAAGCAAGTCAAAATATATTTCACGAAACTTTCTTTTCAGTAGTAAATGGCAAAATTATGCAAAGCTTGAAATTTCAAGTTTAAAGTATCCTCGCACACCTTGTGTGTTTTGAATAAAGCTTTTTTACTTCAGTTAGTTTCAATTGTGATCACAGTAAGTTAATTTAAACTAACACTAAATTTGCATTATTTTATAAACAGAAAAAGACTTAAGAAAAAATCGAACACCGTTTCGAGAGATGAACATAATAATCATTTGGGTATGCCTACGAAAAATAAATAAAAATAATTGTTGAAATGGGGTGGAAACAAAACTTTTGTATTTGTATTTTTACCGCACTTCCTATGTCACCCTGAATAAAAAAAAACACTCAAATTCTATTTTGTATTTGTAAAGCAGATGATTAACAAGAAATCGCTTTAAAAAATGATTATTTCATTTAAAGGTTGTCGCAAAAATTGGTGAAATTTATGCTTGGAACGAACCTGTTGTTGAGTATATATACATATTTAAATAATGTTTCACTTCTATACTAGATCGCGGGGGAGTCGTTTCGGCGTTTCGGCACTGCTACCTTTGCAGATATTTTATACATGACTCTACATCTCAAATTGTCTCCAAGAAGCGTAGACTTCTGCCGAAGGAAGCTATTTTCCTGGGTGTTAGTTGGCCCACTTCTTCTGGTGACAGTGTTGCCCCCTCGAGGAATTTGAGCCTCTTGCAGAATTGGGCTGGATATTCGCAGACCAGGTGCTCTGCGGTCTCTATTGCGTCTGAGCAGAATCTGCAGAGATCGTCTTCCGCTTTGCCCATTAACCTTAAATGGTATTTCACTGGGCTACTTCTATACTAATATGTATTCAACAATGAAAATTATCAAATCTTTTAAGTTCGAGAAGTTTAATTTTTTTTATATGGAGTGGCAGGCTCTGATTTGTGCTGGTTGGAGTCATACAATAATAATAATAATAATAATAATAATAATAATAATAATAATAATAATAATAATAATAATAATAATAATAATAATAAAAATAATAATAATAATAATAATAATAATAATAATAATAATAATAATAATAATAAAAATAATAATAATAATAATAATAATAATAATAATAAAAAAACCCCTCAGGGGTCAGATGAAAAATCTGACACGGGAATGGCAAACCCGAGGTACCCTAGCTGTCAGGGGCTGACCGCCGAGTCCCTGACTACATACCGTAATCACGGGGAGCCCTTCAACAACCCAAAGTAGGCGTATTTGTGGTAAGTTGGGTGTCCCATGTGACCGGGGGGCTTGCCTTAATCGGCTGGCCTACGTGAAGAAAAACACTCTAAAAATCCGACAGCGAAGTCGCAAAAACCTGTGGGGCACCAGGCGCACCCAACAGTATAAACGCCTTCCTGCAGTATCCAGGCTCTGCTGTAGGTGACTTACTTACCTTGGTTACTCGTGGGACCAGAATGTCAGGAACAAATACCCAAATACAGGGGCCGTCTCTCCCCCAAAGTGGAGACAACCAACAGGAGAATGATCCTTTCAAGAGGAGTACCTCAATTTCGAGAACCCCTACTAAGGGCGATAGGAATACTGAACCCACAAAGAACAATAATATCAGCCAGGAAAAGCTGCTTCATGCGCGGTTCTTGGTGATACAGAGAGTGGATGGTTTGAATTTTGATAAAGTTAGTCCGTTTGGCATTAATAAGGCCTTCAACGGTTTAGTTGGAGAACTAAAACAAATAAAGAAAACTAAACAAGGTTTACTTGTAGAGACCGTTTCAGCAGCTCAATCTGGTAAGCTCCTAACTGTTAACAAGCTGTTAGATTTACCCGTATCTGTCTTGCGTCATGAATCCTTAAATGTTTCTAAAGGTGTTGTTTATAGTCGTGACTTACTTTGCTGTTCTGAGCAAGAAATTCTGGATGAACTGAAATCGACTGGAGTTATTGATGTGAAAAGAATTAAAACAAAAATTAATGGAGAACTACAGGACACTGCCTCGCATATTTTGACTTTTAATAATTCCAAACTCCCGAAGTATATAAAAGCAGGGTACTTAAATATACCAGTTAGGCAGTATGTACCACCTCCATTAAGATGTTACAAATGTCAAAAATTCGGTCATACTTCAGTGAAGTGTGATCAACCACAGATATGTGTGTGCGGAAAACCACCCCATGATGGTAATGCCTGTGGTAGCGAAGTTCTCTGTGTGAACTGTGGCGGCAAACACTCCGCACGATCACGCAACTGTCCAACTTATAAAACAGAAATAGCAATACAGGAATTAAAACTTAAAGAAAATATTAATTATTTTGAAGCAAGAAAAAAAGTCGTAATAAATACTCCAAAGAACATCAGTTATGCTCATGCAACAGCCGCCTTACCTGAAACAAAAGAAAACTTTAATATTAAAAACTTAATAAATGAATTAATACCTACATTAATAAAAGAACTCAAATTAGTATTTGTCTCTAAAACTGAAATGATTCCGTCAGAACGTTGTCGAAGAGAATCGGCTTCTTCGATTGCCTCTGAGGTACCGTATGAAAAAAGAAAAAGACCACCTACAAATACTGGAGAATCGAGCGGAGGAGAAAGTTCTGCCTTTGAACCGGAATTCTCCGACAACAAAATTAAGAAACCTAAGGGGTGGCCAAAGGGGAGACCCAGGAAACCACCTAACAATAATGACTAGTCAAAGTAAATTACTGAATCTGTGATAAATTAATAATTATAAATTATCTGTTCTTGTACCTGTCTCATATTTACATGTTTTGTTTGTACCTCATCAATACCACAAATGTCCAACAATATCATTCAATGGAATTGTCGAGGATGTATACACAATTATTGTCACATCAAACTGATTTTACAAGAGCACGATCCGATATGTATGGCTATACAAGAAACGCACCTAAAACCAAATCAAGCATATTCATTGAAAAATTACTCCATGATAAGACGAGAGGCGGAAGGTGGTGAGAGGGCGCATGGAGGTGTCGCACTGTTCTTGAGACACGATGTCATCTTCACCGATATTCAAATACGTAGTGATCTACAGGTTGTAGCAGTCAAGGTGATCAGTCCTTTAAAGATAACCATATGTAATGTCTACCTGCCTAATATAGCGTGGACAATTGAACAAATTGATCAAGTAATAGAACAACTATCCCCCCCCTATGTTGTGGTGGGAGACTTCAACGCCCACAATACACTTTGGGGCTCTTTGATAACAGACACAAAGGGGCGTGTTCTGGAGAGATGGTTAGATAGAGATGATATTGTTCTAGTGAATACGGGATCTGCAACGCATTTTAATGAAAAATCCAATAACTTTTCAGCAATCGACCTAACTTTGGCAACTTCTGATCTGCTGACGAAACTTAACTGGATTGTGGATGATGATTTGCACAACAGCGACCACTTTCCAATACACATTGAACTGGATACACCAAAAACTATAAATACTCTACCTATTAAATGGAACACACATAAAGCTGACTGGAATAAGTTTAGAAACTCTGTTAAACTGCCAACAGATCTTGGCGTGAAAAATATAACAGACTGCATACTGGCCGCAGCAAATTTAAGTATACCGAAATCTGGAGGTAAACCTTTCAAAAAATCTGTACCTTGGTGGAATGAAGAAACAAAAAATATAACGAAACTCAAAAAACAGGCTTTTAACGAGTTTAGAAGAAGTCCTACTACTGAAAACCTAGTAAAATTTAAAAAAATTAGAGCAACCGCAAGAAGAACCATACTTAAAAACAAAAGAGATACCTGGAATCAGTACACCAAAACAATCACGCCAGATACGGAAATAAAAACTGTGTGGAAGAAGGTGAAAGAAGTATCGGGTATTTACACAAATAACCCAATTACCTCTATACAAACAGAAACCGGATCCATAACCACCGACCCTGTAGAAATAGTAAACATAATAGCAACACACTTTGAAAGAGTCAGTAGCAGCAACAATTATGATCCAAGCTTTTTACACATAAAAAACAATGTAGAAATAAATATAGATTTTACCACAGAAAATGACCTAGAATATAATTTGCCTTTCAGTAAGAAAGAGCTTGATGAGGTACTCCAGCAGTCTAAAGCAGGTGCTCCCGGTCCAGACACAATTTCCAACGATATGCTGAAAAATCTAACACCTGAAATGAAAGAGATATTGTTAAAATTTTACAACAAACTATGGGATGAAAATACTTACCCGGAATCCTGGAAAGAGGCTCTGGTAGTACCTATAACTAAACCTTATAAAGATAGACTGACACCATCCAGCTTAAGACCTATTAGTCTTACCTGCTGTATGGGCAAACTCTTTGAAAAGATGATAAACAACAGATTGCAGAATTATCTAGAAGTCAATAACTTATTAGTTCCCTACCAAGCAGGGTATGGAAAGAAGCGATCAACAGTAGATCATTTAGTATTACTAGAACATTCAATCCAAGAAGCATTTCGAAAAAGGGAACACTTAGTGGCTACTTTCTTTGACATAAAAGGAGCCTTCGATATGACATGGCGCTATGGAATTCTCGATAAACTGTCTAAGTTTGGACTAAATGGAAGATTGCCGTTGATGATAAAATCCTTTCTTGAAAACAGAAATTTCAAAGTAAGAGTTGGCAAGGAATTGTCATCAACTCGATCACTAGAGAATGGAGTCCCGCAAGGATCTACGCTTAGCTGCACACTCTTTGCGATTGCCATAAACGAAATTTGTAAAGATGTCAATCAGGAAATCAAGAAATGCATCTACGTTGATGATTTGGCAATCTCCTGTAGTGCAAAGAAGGTGGGAGACATTACACGCATATTACAACCGGCAATAAACACCATAATCAAGAATGGCGAAAAAGTTGGTTTCAAGTTCTCCAAAGAGAAAACTAAATGTGTGCATTTCTGCCAACTCAGAAAACCTCATTACGACCCAATGCTGTATTTAAATGATAATATTATTGAGTGTGTTAATAACTTTAAGTTCTTGGGATTAACGTTCGACAACAAACTTACCTGGTGCGAACACATTAATCGAATCAACACAAAATGCCGGAAATCTCTTAATATTCTGAAAGTCCTAGCGCATACTAAATGGGGAGCTGATACAAAAAGTCTTCTCATGATATATAAATCTCTAATGTTGTCCAAAATAGATTACGGAAGTATAGCTTACTCCTCAGCAAGAAAAAGTCATTTAGCAGTACTTGACAGAATTCAAAATATAGGACTACGCTATTGTTTAAATGCCTTTCCAACTACCCCTGTCCAAACTCTTTATTGTGAATCTGCTATAATGCCTCTAGAACAAAGAAGAAAAATCCTAATGACAACTTACCTAACAGGTGTCAAATCTTATCCCAAAAATCCGAACAACGAATTCTTATTTCCTGACGAAAACCAATACTCTAATAGAAACACCATCACTCGTCCTCTTGCAGTGCGCTATCTAGAATACTTGGGGAAAATCGGTGTCGAACTCCCTGACATACTTGTTGATGATCGAAATGACGCCCAAGTAGCAAATAACGGTACCATGAAATGAATAGACTTTATAAACAATCTGAAAGGCAAAATTAGAGATGAGTGGCAGGATGTATGGAGCGGAACAGATACGTTGTTTCGTAGAATAGAGCCAACAATTAAACAGAAATATGAATCGACAAGTTCGAATAAACTCGAAACGGTAAAAGCATTTAGACTCCGTACAGGACATACAAATCTAACACACCAACTTCTTCCTAAAGGAGAACAAGCACCAACATGTGATCAGTGTAATGTAACTCTCTCAATTAGTCATATCATTAGTGAATGTCCTGTTTTCAATGCTCAAAGGCAACTCTATGGTTTAGGGCCATGCACAGAAGATAACCTGAAAAAAGAAAACATGAGAAACATACTCGACTACATCAAAGATATTAATCTATTTGATAAAATTTAGGAACAAATATAGATCTGTGATACTTACCATAATGTGATACTTACCATCTAGGATACTCGCCATCTGTGATACTAGATACTACCAAAAATATTTATATACACAGTACTTGTTTTATGAGCTAATAACCTTGCTGTTGATGCTCTAGGGTGGTCTTTTTTAGTGCGGTAAAAATCCCACACTATTTGGTACCCAACACCTTAACCAAATGCCTTTTGAAGGTTTTTTTGTCCACCCTAAAAAAAAAAAAAAAAAAAAAAAAAAAAAAAAAATAATAATAATAATAATAATAATAATAATAATAATAATAATAATAATAATAATAATAATAATAATAATAATAATAATAATAATAATAATAATAATAATAATAATAATAATAATAATAATAATAATAATTTATTTTATGGATCACGACCGTTAATAATTGATATTGTTCGAATAACTGAACTAATTCTCACTAAATCAGATAAAGGTAATGTTACTGTAATTATGGATAAAAACTCTTATGAAGATTTAGCTAGTAATATTCTAAATGACCAAAATTCATATAAAGAATTACAAAAAAATCCGACAACCTCTTTTGAAAATCAATCTAATAAATTAATTTCTCAATTAGAAAGATCCAATATGATAAATGAATTGGAAGCAAAACAGTTAAAATCACATAATACAACATGTCCAAAATTTTATGGTTTACCTAAAATTCATAAACCTACATTATCACTAAGACCTATAGTTTCATCAATTGATACTCCAAATACAAAATTAACAAATTTTATGAATAATATTTTGAAAAGATCCTACAATACTCATAATGATTTTTACATAAAAGATTCATTTGAATTTTCTGAATTTATAAATGACAAACAAATTCCTGAAAATAATATTTTGATAAGTTTAGATGCTATTTCTCTTTTTAGTAATATACCAATTAATTTAGTAAACGATAGTATAATCAAAAGATGGGATGACATTCAAAATTATTGTCAAATCACAAAAACAAAATTTTTAGAAATAATTCAATTTATTTTTAATACAAATTATTTAAAATTTAAAAACTCATTTTACAAGCAAATATTAGGTACACCAATGGGTAGCAGTATTTCTCCAATAATAGCTCAATATGTTCTAGATGATCTTATTGAACACTGTTTACCAACACTTTCTTTTGAGATACCTTTTTTAAAAAAATATGTTGATGATATTGTTTGTGCGGTTCCTTTTGATAAACACCAAGAAATTTTGGATATATTTAACAATTACAATAATTCAATCCAATTTACTATCGAAATTGAAAATAACTATAGTATTCCATTTTTAGATACAAAAATTATACGGAATAACCAAACTCTAATAACGGATTGGTATATTAAAGCAACAAATTCTGGAAGATATATTAATTTTAACTCATATCATAGTTATAGACACAAAATTAATCTCATCTTGACACTTAAAAACAGAATTGAGAAATTAGTTCATCCATCATTAAAAGAATTAAACTTTAAAAAATTAAAACAGATTTTATTAAAAAAATCATATCCAAATGCATTATTAAATAAAATAATTTTCAACAACAATATTATTAATGATAATAATAATAACCAATCATCTAACGAGTCAATAATACAAAATAATTCTATTAATGTTCAAAATAATCAACAACCAAGATTTTATTATGCTTCAATACCATACATAAAAACACTTTCAGAAAAAATTACTTATCTTTTCAAAAATGAATC